GAGAGAGGAGAGAGAGAGAGATAGAGAGAGAGAGAGAGAGAGAGAGAGAGAGAGAGAGAGAGAGAGAGAGAGAGAGAGAGAGAGAGAGTGTAAAGCGAGGAACAGGGAACCTAGACATGAGAACAATTAACAAAATGCTCCATCAGATTACAGCTTTTTTGTTGCAATTCAGCCCACGTATCCAGGAGGAGGAACACATAGTGTTTATGTGTTACCTACCTGTGCTATGTGGACTACGTGTCTTTGGGGGGTGACACATAGGTGAGTCTGCATGATACAGTTATGACGAGGGTTAAGGGCCAAGCGGATACTCGTGTCCACTGGTGCAGGTTGTGGTGGGGTTGTTATGGTCATGTGTTGCGGACACATATATGGGATATCGGTGTCGGATACATATGGGATGTAAACTGAGGGGTACACATGTATAATTCGGTTGAATAACCTCTAACCGGTTTCAGAGTGTTGCCTGAGGCTTATATTCAGACGTAAATTGAAATTTGACTTTGATAAGTTTGTTTTGAAATTCCACCAGATTTGGTTGTCCACTTTAAGGACTTTTCTTATAATTTTTTTTCTAGTTCTATTTTTCTTATATGGTTTTCTTTGTACATTTTTAATTCATTATCTGTGGTTCGTTTTTTTTTTTTGGGGGGGGGTTTACGTCCAATTTTGGACTTTTTACTGTTTTTTCTATTTCCGTTTTGCAACTTATAGATGTAAGAACAAAGGAATATAGCAAACTGCACACATTGCCTATTGCCCCACACGAGGCAGCTCCTATTGATATCCACCCAAACTCATTCATATATGTGTGTGTGTGTAACCTACGCTTGAAACAATCCATCGATCCCACGTGTATTGTGTGACCCGGTAATTTGTTGCATAGATGAACCCTCCAATGTCTTTGTTTCAATGGTTGAGGGTTGACAGCATCTTAAGGAGGGGGGAAGGGGGGGAGAGGGGGGTGAGTGGGGGGGCTTGAGTGTAAGCCAAACTTTGGGAAGGTCACAGACTGTTCGCCGAGCACCGCTCCTGTGCCAGGTAAGTCCACTACGGGCTCACCACAGCCCGTGCTACTTACCCCGCTCCTGTGCCAGGTAAGTCCACTACGGGCTCACCATAGCCCGTGCTACTTGGAACTTGTTCCGAGTAGCTGAATCTATAGCAACAACTAACAGACTGTTAGGGCGATTTGTCGTGTCAAAAGTGAAGTAGTTTTGTCTGACAAGAAGAATTTGAAACCGTTTAATCCCTTGAGTGTTTAGAAGCTCATTTGAACTTGACAGGAGAGGCAGCCTTATACATGAACTTTAGAAGCAACACGCCCTGGAATGCCCAAACGCTTCATTCGTTGCTTTGAAATATTCAAATTAGCTTTTTTGTGTGTGTGTGCAGTCGAGACCGGGACTCCGGGGGAACGATAACCACCCCATGTGCTAATTAACCAGGTGCTCGAGGAAGACGGATGATAGCCTGGCTATCGTACCTCCCCATCAACTGTTATCGCACGTCCATTGTCTTCGCGTTGTATCGCGCACGCGAGACTTAAGTCGCGTTTTTAAGATTCGTACACGAGTCTGAATGGATAACGTACACGATAACGAGTGGATAACGTACACGATAACGAGTGGATAACGTACACGATAACGAGTGGATAACGTACACGATAACGAATGGATAACGTACACGATAACGAGTGGATAACGCACACGATAACGAGTGGATAACGTACACGATAACGAGTGGATAACGTACACGATAACGAGTGGATAACGTACACGATAACGAGTGGATAACGTACACGATAACGAGTGGATAACGTACACGATAACGAATGGATAACGTACACGATAACGAGTGGATAACGTACACGATAACGAGTGGATAACGTACACGATAACGAGTGGATAACGTACACGATAACGAGTGGATAACGTACACGATAACGAGTGGATAACGTCTGCGGGTTCTGGTGCTGACTGGAGGATACAGCTAGACAAGTCTGGTGGATTGGGAAGTTAGAGAATGGATTTTTTTTTTTCGGAACTTAGACACGATTGTTGACGGGCCTCTTGAGGTGGTTGTTATAGATTCAGCTACTCGGAACAAGTTCCAAGTAGCACGGGCTATGGTGAGCCCGTAACCCTCTTGAGGTTCTTTGTGTTGCTTGGGGGAACTTTGGTGTACTGGAGTTTAGTACTTCAGTCTGTTACCCCTGTCTACCTGATGCTGTTGACAGGATGGTGCCTACACTCCCTTTGAGGTCCCCCTCTCAATATCTATCTATCTATATCTATCTATCTATATTTATCTATCTATATCTATCTATCTATATATATCTATCTCTCTATCTATCTCTCTATCTATCTCTCTATCTATCTCTCTATCTATCTCTCTGTCTATCTCTCTGTCTATCTCTCGCTATCTCTCTCTCTCTCTCTCTCTCTCTCTCTCTCTCTCTCTCTCTCTCTCTCTCTCTCTCTCTCTCTCTCTCTCTCTCTCTCTCTCTCTCTCTCTCTCTCTCTCTCTCTCTCTCTCTCACACTCACCCACACAAGGTCAGATAATTCGTGGGGCGAGTAGAATGATGAAGAGAACTCAGATGAGAATGAACACAGGACCTGATGGACTACTTAACAGACTCAACTAACCCGAAGAAAGATGCTTACCACCACTTATGACTAAGAGACGCAAGACGAACATTACCCCGTGGTTCAACAGGTAGTAACTAGAAGGAGAGAGAAAAAGCACAAGAACATAGACGAAATATGTATAACACAGAACAGTGGGAACTCACAATGTATACAAAGGCCAAAATGGAGGACATAGAAGCTAAGAGAGTGGCACAGAAACAGTTCAAGAATGACAAGGGGGCACACAAGGCTATTAAGTCCCAAAGATAACTGTTCCATAGACATATTAAGAGCAAGATGACTGTGAATGAACAGGTAATTAGACTTGACAAAAGTGAGGGGGGAGGACATAGAAAATGATAAGGAGGTATACGCGAGGAACTTAACAAAAGCTTTCGGGAAGTATTCAAGCTGGAACCTGATTTGCAACTACCTTACCTTGAGGTGCTTCCGGGGCTTAGCGTCCCCGCGGCCCGGTCGTCGACCAGGCCTCCACAAGGTTCCCCTCTCAATCTCTCTCACTCACTCACTCACTCACTCACTCACTCACTCACTCACTCACTCACTCAGAGCATAGAGCCCAAACCGAACAGGCAATTTCTCGAGAAGGTCACATTTAAATAACAGTACCCACAGAAAAACAATAAAAAAAACAACTGAAGGAACTGGAGGGGACAAAAGCCGCGGGACCACACAAAATATCGCCTTCGATACTAAAAAAAAAAGCAGTTGAATCATTGTGCCAAAAAATTGAAATCCTCTAGAAACGGGAGAACTTCCTGAAAGCTGGAAAATGGCTAATGTAGTAGTACAAATTTACCATGTCTGACGACCTGCTTCATGCAGGTCGGCGTTCAATCCCCCGACCGTCCTCCAAGTGTTTGGGGGGTACCGTACCTTTCCTCCGTCCCATCCTAAAAGTAATTGTTGGACTTGCCAGCATTCTCAGACTGTTTACAACAGCGCGACTGTCGCGAGTGGAAAATATGACCGTAGGACAATCAGATTGTTACCAATACTTTACCATAACTGTCGACTTGTTCTAAATTATATACCACGACTCTCTCCATGGCTGTTGACAATTCTACTGTTGGATCCTGTAGCATAGTGGGCTACGTCCCCGGCTCGCAACCGAGGGACCAGGGTTTTATTCCCCGGACAGGACGGGAAAGATTGTATGCGTTTTCTCTCACCTGATGCCGCTGTTCACCCAGCAGTATAATAACCCGAGAGTTAGGCAACTGTTGTGGGCTGCATAATGGGAAAGGATAGCAGTAGGCTTAAGGCAGGGATAGGATACCTGTTGATT